CTAGTAGTTTTAGCTAGAACTCTATAAAAGCTTAGTAGAGGCGAAGTCTTAAAGGACTAAAACCCTTAAAGGGGAGGCAATTGTAACAGAATCCCCTAGAAGGTATATATTAGATAAGACAGTAGGAGGTTTTATTTATATCCTATCTATATTCTATCTACGTCCTAAGAGATACGGTTAGATAAATAAGGGGCGAAGGGTTTTACTAGCGTTTTAAAAGGATTATATAGGGAGCTAGATCTCCTCTAAAGAAGAGCTAGCGATTAGTCTCTAAATAAAAGAGGTTAGAAAGCATTTATCCTTTATATGTAAAGATCGTTCTACCTTAACTTATCTTCTACTTACCTGTAACTCTTATTCTACACTATTAATTAGATAATTATATATTCCGGTTAAACTGGCCTCTTATAATAGGCTAGCTATTTTTACCTTAAGATTATATTGTAGCTACCTAGGTCCGTAATAAAAAAGGGGATATTATATTACCTTCGTCTATTAACACAGAGGTAAATTTATATAATAGTTATAATAAGTAGCCCTATCCGCCCATTATACCTATAGATAGGAATTAGTTTAGGCAGTTCTTTAATAAATATATTTAAAAAGTTAGCTAGCTTTACGGCATACTAGGTATCTATTAAGGTAAAGATATTTACTCTAGAGTTAGCTAAAGTAAAGGTTAAAACTTAGTATCTATTACGGAATAAAATATAAGGGATGGTGTAGCTTTTTCTACTAACTAGCTAACCTAGATTAACATATAATATATTAATCCCTTTTAACCCTAAAGAGGAGTTTTCCTCTAGGGTTCCTCTTTTTCTAACTTTATACTATCTTCCTAGATTAACAGAACCTTGTCCGCTTTTACGCCCGTTAGGTAATCCTTTATATAATAATTCATTGCTTAACGTCCGATTCGGATCCCTATTGGGCCCACGCGGACTACTCCTTATATACATGTGGGGAGAAAACTCTATTTGAGAAAACCCCGTGATCCATCTCCCCGCCTTTTGGGACTCGCCTGCGGGGCGCCTGCGAGTCACCTGTGGTGCTCCTACTACCTTACTTTTTGACCTCCTTGGGAACCACTGCTGCCGTAACAAGCCTACGGACGCGCTAGTATCGCAAACTTTACTCTACTGCTATAGAGTCATTAGGGGGCACCCGTTGCTCGCCCCCCTGCCTTCTATTGCCATTTCCTTTGCAACCCGGAACTGGTAATCCTTTATATAGTAACCTTTCTAACTATAAAAGAAGTAAGCTCCTTAATTACTAAGGGCCTATATATAGGGGTTACTATATATAAGCCAAGCATTCACTTAACTTATAGTAGGACTAGCTATACGGCTAGCTGCTAAATTAGCAGTAGGCTATATAGGCGGTGCTATAGGGGCTACCGATCGTGCTAGGGTATTGCGGGCCGTTCTTATATTGCTTATAGTTTAATTTAAAGGGTTTCTAGCTTTATACCGTTTAGCGTATACCTTAATTTAGTAAAGGCCTTAGTTAATAGCCAAGCACTAATCTATAAGTTCCTTTAGCATCTATATAGTAGTAAAAACTAGTAATATAGCTTGCTATAGGTCTAGGGTAAGCTTATTAAATAGGTTTAGCATTAAATCTTTTTAGGGAATTTAAGCCTAGCTAGCTAGGTGCAGAAAGTGGGTCTAAAAGGCTAAGAAGGTCTCTATTGTTTTTATATTTAGGCTTTTATAATTAAGTTAGGTATTTTATACTTTAAAGGGGTCCTTATAAATAGAAGATAGGTAAATAATTATCTCTTTATTAAAGAGGAAGGGATTTACTAATTTCTATACGTACTAAGGACATAGGTGCGTCTATATATCCCCGCTAGTACGGCTAAAGACATAGGCCATTTTAGCCTAAGTAGTAGGAAAGTAGTCCATATTAACTTTAAGCTTATCCTATAATTAAAGCTTCTAATTATTAAATATAGGGTTAGTTCTATTTATAAGTAATAGGGGGTCCGCAACCTTTATAGACCGTAATAATACTAATACTATATATTAGGCTAGAGCTTTAAGGACTATAGTAAGTCTCTAGGTATTTAATACCTCTTTATTAGGTATAGGGGTTTTTCTAACTTTAAGCAGCTCTTAAAGTTATTTAATTTTAGTATTAGCTGCTATAAGCTCCACCTAGGAGTTTAAGTTAGTTACTATTTTACTATTAAAGGCATTTAATAGTCCTACAGCTACTTTACCGGCTGCTGTATTTCTTAGCATTATGGTATAGTTATTAGGGTAACTTTTAATAGGATTCTATAGGGGTTCTGGTCTATGCGTATTTTATAAATCTTATTATTCTTTTTTATTCTTCTAGTTTTGTTTTATTCTTTAAGTTCTAATAATAGTTTTTAGGTCTACTTCTATATTCTATTCTTATTTATAATCCATAAATATTTTTAAGTTCCTTCTTAGAAAGAAGAGGTAGTTAAGCTTTAGATAATATTAGCGACTTAGTTAATTAAGGCACGAGCACGGTAAAAGGGACGCGTAAGCCTATACGATTGGCAGTCTATAAACGAAGATCTAAAGCTAAAGAAAGACGAAGGGTGGCGCCGCTTAACGTTATATACAATCCTCTAGTTACGTGACGGCAACTATTTAGAACTGTATAAAACTGTCTATAACTATCTACGACTATCTATAACTATCCGCTATAATCTACCAATATCTATTAGCTACAATTTACTAGTTTCTACTAGTGCCGTAATAAAGTATAAGCGGCGATAATATATAGCAAGGTAGATATTATTAAGCTATATATATAAACTGTATAAGGAGGTTAAGACGTTATATAAGGAAAGAAGGTAGNAAAATAGGAAGAAAGGGTATATATTGTGGACTTAGTTACTTAGTTAATATATATATAAAGCAGAATAGGATTTAGGTAGTAGTCCTAGTAAAACTTAGTAGGATTTAGTAGAACTTAGTAGAACTTAGTAGAATATAGCAGAATGTAGTAGGTTGCTATTAGATTGCCGCAGATTACTATTAGATTGCCGTCTTATAGTTAGTCTTTAGTTGCTAAGTTAGTAAAAATAGGTAAACGTATATAAGGTGTTATGGGGGTGTCCCATAATAGTACCCCCCTTTTAAACTTAAGCTTCTGTAAGATAGGGCTATAGTAGTTCTAGGTGGAGTTTATAAAAGTTTTCTGCGGCTTATATAAGTCCTATAGAGTTAACGGGTTCCTATAAGGGCTTAGTAAAGCCTCTCTATTTTATAAGATATATATATTAGCATTTCTGTTTATTATACTTAATATTATTAATTCTTTTAATAAAGCACTCATTCTTACCATCCACTTTAACTGGTAGGGGAGGGTCTTATATTTATCTGGGTAGGGCGTTTAATATAGGAGTAGTAGGGTGGAGGACTGATATATAGAATATGGGGTGGATTTTAACCATATTAGGGAGCTTTAATTGGTAGGCGTGGGAGGAGATAACCTTCTTAACCTTATAAGGGCTAGCGTTCTTCTAATTAAGCTTCTTAACAGGTTGTTTTGTGTTTAGATTTCTTATATTTAGCTAGACGAAGTTACTAATTTAGTAGGCTACGTCAGGAAAACGGGAAAGTGGCAGGAGCTAGCCCGGGGCTAGCCCCGGGTCATTTTAGCTGGATCCGCTGATCTGCTTATGTACACTTCTTTACGCTAGCCCGGGGCCACTTTAGCCACTTTAGCTACTTTAGCCACTTTGTATCTAATAGTTATAATATTTATAATTTATAAGGATAGGAGGGTAAAGAATAAGAGAAATAGGGCCTAGGTTAAACGGATTAGAGGTAGGAGCTATGGAGTATATAGGTTTAGCGCCAGGCGCGTAGAAGGGTTATCCCTTAGCACGTCAGGGTCCAACGAGTAAGTGGTCCGTGCGGGAACACCGTTTTCAAAAACGCACAAATACCTACCGCAATGCCTTCTAATCGTGCTAGAATTTCTGCAGAAAGGATAAGTGCTAGTAACCTCATATTGAGTGACTCAACTTCAAAGAATAAGCTTATATATTAAAATACTATGGAGTTTGGCCTCTATCAAAAGCTTCGTATTCCTGAGTACGGGCGTTAAATGCAGGTCAATTGATTGGCTGGATCTTATCGATAACAATTGGACCCGAATTGACGTGCTAAGGGATACTTCTGGATAAACTGCCCGTAAAACGGGGCACAGGCTAGGTAAGTGGGAGGCTTAACGTTAGACCGGCAAGCAAGAGGCTTAGGGCGGCGGGGAGTTTTAGCAACGCGACCTCTAAAAACGGCAACAGAACCCTCCAAAACTGGCAGTCAGATCTCCATTTTCTTTTTTAATGGAGTATACGCGTATAGTGCTAAAGTTCATCTAGTGTAAGATTTTGCGACGTGGCGTATTTCAACACTCCCGCAACACTGGCCGAGCTCCGGACTCCGCTGGCCCGCGCGTGTACGGACTGAGTGTGTTACAAAGTTGCTCTTTGTGGACAACATCGGAGACAGTTTTGCTTGTGTGAGTCCAGTCAAGGACTGCAAGGCCGCTAAATAGAGTGTCGTTGGTACTCTGAGCCAGGGTCGTTGAGAGCCCTGAAGCGTCACCTCCGATAGCTCCAGCAATGGCGATCGAGAGGTTACGCCATGTTAGGAGTTGAGAAATGCCCGGAATCGGGTCCTTGTATATTAAATAACTCTGCATATTATAGCGATCTTGTCTAACCTGACGAATATAAATATATATCAAATTCGAGCTTTATTATCACGATATTGCGTTATAATTGATTGATCAAACATACAGCATCATTTTGCCAAGACTACGTCAAATCTAGATCATCTGGTTGGTTCGCTTACTAAACGACCTTCTTAACAGCGCATGGGATAAGAGTACCATCCGCAATAGAATATTAGATATAAGCGCAAAAAGAATTAAGCAGTATGCAATTTTATAAACCCAACCCCCCCCATTTCCTATGTGATATTCCCCCAGCAAATAAAAAAAAAAGGCCACGACCGATACAAGACTTGTACTTGTAGCCTTGCCCTTAATATTTAGGAGGGGCACGCGCTACCATTGCGCCAACCCTATTCGATAATAAGCTACAGTATTGCATATTCGATGTGAACAAGGTAACATACGGCCAGGTGGATCTAGAAAACTGATTATTTGAAAATAAAAATAACAAAATATATATACGGAGGTAGCGGTCAAAAGTCCCTGGGCCTCCTCTTGTAGTGGCGTGCGCTAGCCTTTAGTGGCTTTGTGTGGCGTAAATGCTTGGCGCACACTGCTTACGCCACACTAAGCCACTAAAGGCTAGCGCACACCACCACGGCAGGGGGTGCCAGGAACTTTTGACCGCTACCTCCGTATATAAAAGCATTATATAAAGCTCTACACGAAGCTCTGCACAAAGCTTTTATATAGAGCCTCCGTAGTAGAGCCGTCGTACGCAAAACCGTCGTACACAGAGCCGTCGTGCAGAGCCTCCGTAAAGAGCCTCGTGCAGAGCCTCCGTAGAGCTTCATGCAGAGCCTCCGTATGCAGAGCTTCATACAGAGCCTCGTGCAGAGTCTCCATACGCAGAGCTTCATGCGGAGCTTCGTGCAGAGTCTCCATACGCAGGGCTTCGTGCAGAGCTTCGTGCAGAGCTTCGTGCAGAGCCTCAGTAAATATATTTCTATTTCTTTAAATCATATATCGGCTCTCCTTTATCCAGTTTAGTTAAAATTTTACAGATGCCAAGCTTTATCCAGATATTATCCGGATATTATCCGATATCCGGGCTATCCTCGGATAGGATTATTATCCGCCTGACTAGATAGGATAATTTATCCTCCGCAGGTCTGTGCAAGAGATAAATGTGATGTGGCGCCAGTGAGGTAACGTGGACCACATTATATACTGCACATCAAGCTTGCCTCAGTTACCTTTACCTTGACACCTTTACATCGATTACGAAGGAAGTTGATCTCCAACTCTACTTGCTGAGCACTACATAGATTATGCCTTCTGAGTTTGATTTCATCATTGCGGGAGGTTTGTTAACCTCTGTTATATTCGGTATAGAATCTAATGATTTCTCTAGGTGGAACTTCAGGCTGCCTCCTCGCAAACCACCTTGCCAATGCTCCTACTCGCCCGTCAGTTCTCCTTGTCGAGGTCGGTGGAGAGCCTGTAGGGAAAACCGTCCGCCCGCCGTTCTACCGATTTATGAATGCCTTCACGCGTCCTGACCTGGATCACGGCTATTCAACTACCAACCAGCCTTTGTTAAATAATCGCAGCATTCAATATCCAAGGGGGAAGGCTTTAGGTGGAAGTTCGGTTCTGAACTTTATGGGTATGTGGGCAAGAGACGCAGATAGCGATGCATATATTACTAAAGATACCTAGTATACGTGTACGGATCAGGAGAAGACTACAATAGATGGGGTGAGCTAGTGGGAGATGATAGTTGGAGGTGGGAGAATACCAAGGAGTTGTTTAAACGGGTACTTTAAAACAAACAAAGATGGAAGGGGTAATACTAACAAAAGATTCATCAGATTGAGAATTACGACATGGCAGCTGCAAGCTCGTATTCTCAATACGCGAATCCATCTCCCTCAGAGCATGGACAGAGAGGGTAAGCCCCTAAGAACAGACATTGTTTGACCAAGTTACAAAAGGCTCATATATATAGTTTGGTCAATGTTTCCCTTCCACTGGTCTTAGAGAAAGGAACCGCAGTTGCGTTGGATGCCATGGATAAGTTTGGTGTAAGCTTGCAGAGTCTTTCGTTGAATCCTGCGCTAATAGTATATAGATGGGACCACGTAATCTCGATTTGAATTCTGGTGATCCAGTTGGCGTAGGTATCTTCCCAAGCTCTTATGGTCGCGATGGACGTACAACAAGTGCCACAGCCCATCTTTTGAATGCACCCAACAACCTTACAATTTGGTCAAATGCGACCGTCTCACGATTCATACTAGACGGCAAAAAGGTTCTTGGTGTGGAATTAGCAGATGGTCGTCAAGGTAACACTCATAATTATGTCTTTAGTGTATATTGCTTACCCCTGCATCTGTAGCTATGTCTAAGAAGGACGTTATCATCAGTGCCGGAGCCCTCGACTCACCAAAACTTCTCCTGCTGAATGGTATTGGGCCAGCAGATGAACTTGCTGCTCACAACATTAATGTTGTACACGATCTTCCCGGAGTTGGTAAGAATTTACGGGATCACTTGCTAGTATTCCTGCCTATGGAAGTCGATCCAAGTTTGACGGATAAGCACGCGTTCGAAAGCGATACTGCTGGAATAGCGCAAGCTCAGGAACAGTGGCTTAAGGATCAGACAGGCCCTTTCACACTCCATAATTCAACGCTGTTTGGAGGATTCCCAAAACTCCCACGCTTAGAAGACTCAGCCGAGTTCAAAGCCTTGGATAAAGACTTGCAGGAATATCTCTCCAAACCAACGGTTCCGTCATACGAAATTCTCGGAAATGCGCCCTTGGCTCTACCAGGGTTCCAACTAGCTGCGGATAGTGCATTCTTGACCTTTGTGGCGTTTCTCATGAACCCGCAATCGCAAGGTGAAGTTACTTTGCGCTCTACTGATCCTCGCGATGCCCCGGTCATTGATCCGAAGTACATGGAACATCCTTTTGACAGAAAGGCAATGCTAGAGACAATTCGTGAGGCAGTGACCTACGTGCAAGAGAGCGATTTGAAGAAATACTTTAAGCGTTTCATTCTCGGCCCGGCAAGTACATCCGACGAGGATATCCAGGTACGCTGCACTGTTCTATACTTCTAGTAACTTTGGCTCTGATTACCTTTAGGAATTCATGAAAGAGGCGCTGAGAACAGGGTTGCACGCTAATGGAACCGTCAAAATGGGCAAACCGGAGGATTCTAGTGCATGCGTTAGTCCTGATTTCCGAGTGTATGGAATGGAAGGCCTGCGGGTGGTTGACATGAGTGTCTCTCCACTCACTCCGAAGTAAGTCGTACGGGGCTCGTTGAAGAAATGGTGTCGCTAACTTTCATGGTAGCAATCACACCCAAACTACGGCGTACCTGATAGGCCAAAAGGCTGCTGACACCATCATTGCAGAATACGAACTTTGATGAAAGAAGATTCAGAGCGATGTGCATAGTTAATAGATATACGAAAATATCCCTTAACCCGCTGGCGTCCATCTGGTAGATGGTTCGTGCGGAACGCCAGAATCAAAACTACGCGTATAGCCTACATAGATTTGATCAATACATTACCATCAGCCATGCCTTCTAATCGTACTTCTAATGATATAGACTTTGCTCAGCCGACTCAATATAACGTTCGACCAAATCGGGTAGCTAAAAAACCAACCCCGGAGCCATAGGAGCTGCCCGATTTCGACGACCATGGCACCCCAAATCTACCTCCTACCCTTAATCGAAGCGATCCGTTTACTATATTTGGTCAATTCTTCACGGATAAGATCGTAGATAAGCTAGTAGAGTGGGCGAACAATTATACAGAGCTACACCCGTCGGACGGTGGAAGAGGCCTCTGTGAGTGCCAAGGAAGCATTTTAGGTGTAAAATATATCAGATTCCGTTCTGCAGAAAGGACGAGTGTTGGCTACTTCATATTGGGCGACTCGTCTCTAAGGAATAAGCTATATAGATTGTTTTATATGATATTTAGTGGATCACCAGTCTCATATCCCTGAGCATGGCAATTTAATCCAATTGATCTGATTGGCTAAATCCTTATCGATAACGGATGGACGCAACTCGGCGGGTTAAGGGATAGTAGATACTAAGAAAATCTTAAGTGATTCATATATGGTTATATTTCGGTTTCCTCCGCCGTGTAGTAAGGAAGATGTGTTGAAGGCGTCCTCACATCTGCTAGATGCGCGTCTCGCCTGTAACTAGTGATAAAACTTACGATCCTAGTAATTAGGCTCGTATATTGCAGTATAGCGCTCGCTTGCATAATTATCCCTTGCACAGATAGATAGAATGTGCACCGTGCGCACCAATCAATAAGCTGCACGCGCAGGCGGTAAGTTGTTCTGCCATGTAACCAAAGATTTCGAATGAAGCCACGAATATTGTATTTCTGGTGGAGATTATATATAGAGCCTCGATCAAGGGTGCTAAGTCGATTGACGTGTTCCTGCCAACAAGGGCTGTCCTTGTACAGTGGTATTCGACGGTCCTTGTTGTCGATATGGGGTGGAAGATTTGGCTGCCCATACTCGTTTAATGTTCTTGTTGTCGTGCACGGGCCACAAAATATAGTACCTTATTTGTGCAAGGGATACATGGTTGCTTAAGAATTGTCGGGGATGCATGTGCTGTGGGGTTGTCGGCAGGCCAAACGAAAGAGTTGCCGACTAGTTCTCGATGAAAATCATCAGCAATAAATTCGAATTTTAGAAGCGATTGGACAATTGGCGGATTGTGGAGATGAGGCTGATGATGCTTCGTGCGCACTTTGAAGGCGCTCGGTTGTGGTTGCTCGTCGCGACGCCTTGGTATTTAGTTATTGACACGAAGCTGCGACTGGGCTAAGCATCTTTACCTTTCTCTCATCTCAGAATTCCTCCGAAACAGAATTGTAATTGGCATCATCGATACGAATCCTCAACTCGACAGTGTCATCAAGCGCCAAAGCCGTTTGGTAATAGGGATTGGGTGGTTGGGTTCTGCTGGAAAGAGTGGCTAGTACTCCCAGCCTCCTACACATTTTGCATATCCTTCCCTCTCCTACCTACATTCCTCGTGCATATCTCCTACTCTATTTCGCTCGTTCAGAACTGACTTTGCTCTCAACCCTTGAATTGCTTGTAAAGCTGTCGAGGCAGGAAGCTGCAGAACCGAACCGAATCCACCCCGCATCAACAACCACGATATATCTCCCGAACACCGATAAGAATATCCTCCTACGAGTCTCTTCGCACACTATTTACCCCTCTCTTGGGCCAATTGACGACCTCCAACGGCCAGCATGAGGTTCCTCGAAGCTCCTTCCACTCTTTTAACGTCCGCTGCGCTTCTCCTTTCGTTTGCATCACTCTCCGTCGCAAAGCCGTACCC